CCCCCCCAGAATGTAAATTTTATTTTTTTTAAAAAATCTTTATTGTGGTAAAATTATACATAAAATTTGCAATTTTTAATTTTTTTATTGTTTGAGGATGTGTTTTTATTGATTTTAGAGAGAGAAGATGGGAGAGAGAGAAGCATTGATGTGAGAGAAAAACATCGATTAGTTGCCTCCCCTTACATGACCCGACAGGGATCAAACCTGCAACTTTTTGGTGTGTGGGACAACACTCCAATTAACTGAGCCACCTGGCCAGGGCTAAAATTGAAAATGTTTAAGTCTACAGCTCTGTGGCATTAAGTCATTCATTCACATTGTTACACAACATCGCCACCATCCATCTCCCAAAATTTTCATCCCAAACTGAAACTCTACGTATTAAGCAATAATTCTCCATTCTCCACTCCTCCCACCTCTTGATAATCACTATTCTACCTTCTGTCTCTGTGAATTTGACTATTCCGCATACCTCATATAAGTGGAGTCATACGATACTTATCCTTTTGTGATGGGCTTATTGCAGTTAGCATGTCCTCCAGGTTCATCCATTTTGTATTATATGTCAGAATTTCCTTCCTTTTGAAGACTGAATAGTATTCCATTGTATATGTATATGGCAATTTGTTTATCGGTTCATGGACATTTGAGTTATTTCGCTTTTAAGCTATATGAATAGTGCTGCTATGAACACGGGTGTGTGAATATCTCTTTGAGTTCATGCTTTCATTTCTTTCGGGTTTATAACCAGAAGTGGAATTGCTGAGTCACATGGTAACTATGTTTAAATTTTTAAGGAACTGTGAAGACATGAGCTATTGTTTGTTGTGTTTACTGGCCTATGGCCAGAGCCTAGAACAGAGACTGGCAGAGTACACAGTCAATAAATACTTACTGAATTAACTTTTAATTTCTCTATGGACCTGGACTCTCACTCTAAGAAGGCCGTGCGGCTTGTCTGAGCCGCTTGCTCATCGTGGTCCCACACTAGCTCCTAATGTGTGCTGTTTCAAGACCCAGGCCCCCAGAGCAGGCCCTGATAACTTGTTCTAGAATTTTGCTGGGGAACTGTTGAAATCACCAGCTGTTTACAGAATCCACCTTCTTTTCTGTGGCTTGTCAGGCTGCTGGCCCCTCTTTCTCAGACGCTCCTACATCACCCATAGTGGCCCCTTACATGTTCTTTCAGTGCCTGTGACTGTCATTTATTTGGATCCCTTTTAGATTAGTCTGGTGCTTTCTGGGTTGCATCTCTTCTCTTAGCTCACTTCCCCACCTCACCAAGTTCCTGCTGCTGCTGTTGTGTAAAAATCATTCTCTTTGATAGGAAACAGAGGCAAAAAAAAAAAAAAAAAAAAAAAAAAGGCTGGATGAATCTTGCTTTCTCTGTTGCCTCCAAACTGACATCTTGAGGCCCAAACAGCACCCTTGGCCCTTTCCCTGTTCTTGCTCCAAATATAACACTTTTTGAATTTGTTTGCCAACTTGAGCTATATAGAGTTTTCTGACACAATTCCTCTAAGTCTCTAATATAGGCATTTCTGCTATAAAACTTGATGTGCATTTTTTTTAAAGACCCACATTCTGAAATTACACTACTAAAAATGGGCTTACAGGAAAAACAGGATTAGGACCGACCACTCAACACTTAGGAAACTCTGTAACAAAAACCCTAAAAATACGACAACAATCTCAATTAAAATATTGACAGTGAAATCTCCACCAGCATTTCCACCTCGAATCCCTGCCAGTCCTTTGCTCCCTGTACCCTGGCGAGTGTGCTTCCTCCGTTTAGAAACAGACTCCAGAGACCCCTCACCTCCAACAGAGTGAAATTGTTCATCAGAACTGAAAATCTGATGCAGGGCCTGCCTTCTTCATTAACCCTTGGTTTCCACATACAGGCACATTTAATTGTAAGTCCTTCATTTGTACTTACTGCTTCACCAGATGGCTTAAAAGTAGAAACCAACTGATTACTGCACCCAGCGAAGACATATCTATTGAATTTTATGTTTCTTAAGGTCTTGATATTGCTGAAATGGTCTTTTTAGACGTAGAACATCAGATGCGGAAGCTGGAACAGTTACTTATGAACTAACGTGATTTCCACATTACACTGATGTCGTTCTCTATGTGCCGATCACTGTGAGTGAGTTCCCGTAGAAGGCGCACCCTTTGAAGCACGACAGTCTGTATTTGATGGTAGTTGTCCGGTTTTCTTCTGCCTTTACCCGTGTCTTCTAAACCATTGAACTTTTTAGAAAGCTTGCTGTGCTGCCTCATAGTTATCGTTCATTAACTCTTCCACTCTTTCCCAATTGGAAAAAAGAAAAGGACAGTGGTAGGAAGGTTTAGCAGTAATACTTTGCTTGGGCCTTGCCGTGGGTCATCCCGATTCAGATCTTGGCTCCACCCACTATTTCTTCATTTATAAAATGAAGCGTGTCACTTAACTCTCCCGGGGCCTCAGGGTCTACATTAGCAAATGAAAACACTACTTTGAAGTGATTGGTGTTCTAAGGATTAATAATTATGTCCATAAAGCACCTAGCACAAAGCTGTTATAATTGAAATCATTTGCAGAATTTCCCAACTAGGAATCATCTTTCCTCCCAGATTCTCTTTCAGGGACTCATACATATCTGTACCCTGAACGCTCACTAAAACTCAGCTCCATGTTCCTTCTCATTGCCCTCATCATTGCTGCTTCCTAGCATCTATGACAGTGCCTCAAGCACATAGTAGGTGCAAAGTAAATTGTTGATTGATTGAACTGAATATTGCTTACCTTTATTTTAAACTTATGTACCTACATTATTCTTCTCAGTGCTTTGTTTATCTTAAGTTCCCAAATGTTTAAGAAGGCCAAACTAGAAGCAACTGTACAGAACTCTGGATCAGCGGTGAGAAGATGGAGTCCAGCCCTGGGAGGTTTGGGGAGGGAACGTGCGCTTGGCTAGGGGCAGCAGTATGAAGCAATGATCGGGTTGATAAACTTCAGGGCTTTTTTTTTTTTAATGGATCTCACAAATGACATCTCATCACTTTTGTGGTATTCTGTTTGTTAGAAGCAAGTCTCTGGGTCGGGCCCACACACAGGTCGAGGGGCTTTCACAAGGGTGTGACTACCAGGAGGCCAGAATCATTGGGAGTCATCTTAGAAGCTTCCTACCACACTCCCATTTTACCAGTCAGGAAACCGAGGCCACAAAGTAGCTGAGCGTATCCCCATTCCTAAAGAAGAGTGTGGCCTGGCCTTGGGAGGGGAGGTGCTCTCAACAGCCTACCTCGGCCTTCTCTGCTGCAGAGCCAGGACGATTCATAGGCCTCCCCTTGGCTTGTGTTAAAATACCCCTCAACACCATTGCCCCTCTTAGCACTGTTCCCAGGCTCACCAGACCACCACCGGCCACTTAGTTTCACTTGCCCTGGCTGGAAACCTGAGGGTGTCAGGCACTGGACAAGAATTGGGCTATGCCCTGTGCTCCAGCCACGCTGGCCTTTGAATCCTCTTGTCTCAGAATGTGTCCCACTTCCCACTCCTTTTACCCCGTAGTAAACTCCTACCCCTGCTTCGGCTCCCTATGTAAATCTTACTTCCAGGGGAGGCTGTCCCTGCTGGAAGACTAGACCAGGCCCCTCTGTCACATGCCAAGTGCCCGGATATTTCCTTTGCTGCGTTTATCGGAAGTTCATTACTGTGAACGGTGGTAGGTGGAGGGTAAGTTCAGTGAGGGTAGGCCGTGAATGTTTTGCTCACTGTTATATCCCCAGCGTGCCTAGCACAGTACCTGGCAAACAGTAGGCAGTAAATGAGTGATGCTGTCATCATCTATTGAAGGAATATTGAGATGCTTCCTGCGGATGCTTCCTGAAAACAGGATCAGCAGCCTGTTTTCCTCAGGCTACTTCTGTCCTATAGTAACCTTAACTTAATTGGTACCTTTTCAAATGTTTATACTAAAATGCTAACTAGGGGGGAACTGAGGGCTTCCTGACTTCCCACGAAAACATTTAAAAGGGACTTCTGGAGGCCAGTGGTTCTGTCGTGTTCCCACTCAGGATAACAACTTTAGGGGTGGGTCGTTCAAGCTCTGAGGGATCGATAGCCTAAGAGCGGGAGGGAGTGTGGCGTATATTTTAGGACAGAAGAGGCCTTGTTTCAGGACCTTTCAAATTACAGGGCCTACTCTAGCAGTGTAGGAAGGGTTTTTAATAAGGAACCTCATCTCATGATTTAAAAATAATGTTTACATACCCTAGCTGGTGTGGCTAGGTTGGAGCATTGTCCCATATAGCAAAAGGTTGCAGGTTCCATCTCCCGTTGGGACACGTACAGGAGACAACCAATCGATGTTTCTCTCTCACAGCAATAATTCTCTCTCTCTCTGCCTTCCTCCCTCTCTAAAGTCAATTAAACATACTCTCAGGTGAGGATTAAAAAAATGTATTAAAAACTTTTAGGTAGTGTTTACAAAGAGTTTGTAAGAACATTGAAGAAATGCATGTACCATATAATATATCTATTATGTATATACACTCAGCATTTGATTTCATTCATGCAAAAATATGCATTCCTAATTAATTACAGCTTAGCTTTATTGAGTTACTACGTGTCACAACAACCCTATAAAGCAGACACTGTTATCTCCATTTTTCAGATGAGGAAGCTGATGCACGGGGGGGGAGGTAATTTTCTCAAGGTTCCACAGCCAGTGAAGGACAGATTTGAACCTTGTCAGTCAGACTCTAGAGCCCATTCCCTTAACTCCTATGTCAGGCAGAAAGAAATCCGTGAAAATGTTCTCTGTCTTTGGCTGGTGGTTTATTTGCTCCTCTGTTCCCCAGGTTTTCTATGTGGATTTACTATAGAAGTTGAGTGATACCTTTTTGAATAGGGAAGAAGGTGGGGTGGTGAAACTTGAAGGACAAACATATGCTTTAGAACAAAACAACTCACCCCATTTCCTTCTCCACTTTTCTAAATGTTCCAGGACTGACCACCACAATTCGGCAGGTCACTGAGGCCCTGTCCCCGGAAGCTGAAGCCAGCACAGCGCTCATTGCAGGTAACAAAGGCTCTAAGCCAAACCCAAGGAACCCTCTGAGCTCAGGGGCCATCTCGTTCCAGACAGCCAGGAACCCATGGTGATGGACTAGGACTTCCCTGTGCGGGAAAGCACTGCAAATCCGAGGCCAGACCCACAGAGGGGCTCATTTCGGCACATAGGTTATCTCGCACACACAAAGCTCTGAGAGACGCTCTGAGGCTTCTGGCAGAGGCACTGCCAGTAAATGATAGGTTGGGAGGTGGCCACAAGTAGATATAGGTGGGTATGGGCACTGCACTCCAGTGTGTGGGTAGGGAGGAGGATGTGTGGTTTGCCAAGTGGGTGAGGAAGAGGATAGGAGGGAGCAGAGAACCCCCTGCAGGAGGCTATGGATTCAAACAACCCTTCCTGTTGGATAAGCTATTTCCTGTTTGCCTCCTTCCTGTTTCTATCGTAATCATCAGGAACTGGTTGAGAGAGAGTTCCATTTTATCAGAAGTCAAAAGCCTTGTGTCCTTAGCTTAAGTCCCCAGAGATCATGTCCCATGGGGACTGGGCTTGGTGGGGAATATAGATTTGGAAGTGGCCACCAGTTCACTAGACCAGGAGGATCCTTGTGAAAAGTGAGGGAGTCGTCTAGTTCAGGGGACCCCGTGATGACTGAGATATACTGGATCCTAAAACATCTCTACATCTTCCCTCTCCTTTACAAGTTGTTATCACCGTGGTCTTCCTCACCCTGCTCTCAGTCGTGATCTTGATCTTCTTTTACCTGTACAAGAACAAAGGCAGCTACGTCACCTACGAACCTGCAGAAGGAGAGCCCAGCACCATCCTTCAGATGGAGAGTGACGCAGCCAAGGGCAGGGAGAAGGAGGAATATTTCATCTAATGATTCCCAGGCCCCACAGAGCTTGTCCAGGCTCCAGTGCTAACACAATGACTATTTATTAGGTGAAAGTTTTATCTGAAGCCAGTGAGCAGCATTGATTGGTATGGGCAAACCTGAGCTCCTTCCAGGAGGAGGCCCAAATCCAGCATCACTGACGGTAGGGCCAGGGACATGGGGAAAGCTGCTAATGATGTCTTTAGACAGCGGCGTTTGTGACTGACCAATAAGGTAGGGCTATAGCCGGCAACATTTCCGAATGTGGCCAGTCATCGTCAGGTTTTTTCCACAGGTCCAAGGGGAGGAGTTAGGGTCACTGGCTGCTCCTCTGTTCCCTACCTAGTGACAGCCCGGGTGGAGGTAGTGTCCACAGGAGTTCTTCCCAGAGGCTGATACCACAAAAGGCCAGGCCCTGAGGGGTAGGAGACTGTAGATACCTTACCTCCTAATGAATGTGCAGCGTCCCTCAATCTGAGCCCCATCCTTTCCCCATTTCCCAACCTCAAACTTAATGCTATTTTTATCAGAATTGAAATTGTTCACTAAGAAATCATTCTCATGTACAATAAATACCTTTTTTTTTTTAATCCAAAATGTCTTTATTGGGATGTTTCCCATTCATCTTGGTTCGGGGTGCTTTTCTTCCGGCTGCCTTCTGAAGGAGCACCCTTCCGTAAGCCTTGCTTTCCCTCCCGTAGGCCGAGTCGTGGAGCAGCCCACACACAAACTACCGTGTGCGCGTGGCTGAAAACGTGGTGGTCTTACAGCGCCCTGGGCATCTCACACCCATGCCATGAAGCAGGAATCGGGGCTCTGCACCAGGCACTTCTCCCTTTCCTCTTCTCTTCTTCTGGAGAGGGATGAAGATCCTTAGTGAGAGGCATGTTGGGCAGCCGGGGGTGGGGTGTCATTACTGCCAGAAAGGCTCCTTTACATTGTGACTTATCCCTGCTTAAACTTTTTAACATTTTCTTTTGCTTAACTCCTTTGCATATGTCCTCTCCCAAGCTAAAAGAACTCTAAGGAAGTTTTAGAAGTTCCCAGAACAATTTTTTTGGGGGGGCAGGGGGGCGCGCTTGAAACAAAGCTGGTCCTAGAAAGTGTCATGGGAGATGGATTGGCTCATTCTCCATCCTAGCAAGGGCCACAATTTCCCAGAATCCATTCTTTGTGTACACAGAGGGCACCAGGAACAGTCTACTTACCACTTTTCCCACTAATCTCCTGAATCAAGCCGAGAAGCTTCCTGGCTCTAACTTGTATCTCAAAATGAGGTATGTTTTAAAGGCACCATTGGCCCTGGCCAGGTAGCTGTTGGTTGGAGCATTGTCCTGTGCACTGAAGGGTCTCGGATTCGATCCCTGGTCAGGGAGCATACCGGAGGCAATCGATCAGTTTTTCTCTCACATCGATGTTTCTCTTCCCCCCCTCTCCCTCTCTAAAATCAATCTTAAAAAAAAAAAATCCTTGGGTGAGGATTAAAAGGCACAATTATTTTGGTAGAAATCATTAACTCCCCAGATATTTCTTTGGGATTAAGCTAAATCTTGAGGTCTTAAATGTATTGCCTCCGTTGTCCAAGTCCACCCAAAGAAAGACCTCAAGAGTTGAGGAGTCAATCTTGGCAACCCAGGTTCGTTTCCAGCATTTCTCCACTCAGAACTCTGGAGAAACTGAAGGTCACCCTAAACTTACACAAACTTTTATACTAAAAACATTTTCCTCAAGTCAAACTGTAGGGCAAGTTAGAAGTCTGTATCATTCCCTATTTCTAAGTTTATGTTCTGAATTCCTCTGCCATAATAGACTTTTAAGAATCTCAGCCCAGTCAGTGTGGCTCATCGGTTGAGTGGTTGAGTGTCAACCTATGAACCACGGTTTGGTTCCTGGTCAGCGCGCACACACACACACACACACACACACACACAATCTGAAAGGGCGGTGAGTTAAGGTGGAAGAGTGTATAACGGGGATAAGAGGGGAAAATTTCACACAATGGAAAAAAATCTGAAAGAGCTTAGGAAGTAAAATTAATTTTTTTAAATGGCAGTGGCACCTATCTGAATTCTTGGTGGGATATAAAAGCTATAAACAGAAGAAATCTAAAAACAAGCTGAGTAATGAATCCTTGAAGTGAGGTGTAATGCAACTTCATCACTTTATTCAAATCTTCAAAATAGTCTTTATTCTACATTTTTAGTATAAAAAAATCCACAAGTTAAGTGCACCACAGTGTAGAGAGAGAGACATACAACGCTTAACTTCCATAACAGTCAATGGTACAGTCAAACATCACATGTACAGAACACAAAATTTAGATGAACTGAAATTATAAAAATAAAACCCAATTGCAAAAAACAAAAATTAAAATATTAAGGATCCCTGAAATATTCTTAATCCTAATGAGATTTCACTGGACTCAAGTCATTGTGTAGAGGCATTCACATGACCCCATTAACCCAGCTTAGGAATTACTGGGAGCCATGAGTGGCTGCATCAGATACTTGGACAATAAATGGTAACCAATTTTTTACTCCCCTTAATTTGGCTCTAAAGTCATCAGGCTTATGAAATACATCCTCCTCCTTGCCCTCCCCCACCCCCCACCCCCCACACACATTTTAAACAAACTGTTGTTTACAGTTTGTGTTGCTATCCTTTGTACAAATAAGATGTTTTTCTGGCACCAAAGCAAATTTGGGTTTGGTTCATGTATGAAGAGAGCCTATGAGGAGGGTCCAAAAGGCACCCTCCACTTTTGCCTGAGGAGATGCAAAAACAGAAATAATGGGGTCTGTGCTTTGGGCACAGACGGTTTCAGAGGATCCTTGTGAAAGACAAGTTAAAGATGACAGGTGGGGACAAGTGCAAGGAGAGAAGGAAATGAGTCTGACTGGCTTTCTGTCCTGCACCACTGATTCGATGGAGATTGGCGGGAGGGAATGGAAGATGGGTTGGGCGTGGGATGTGGGACAAAAGGTGGAAAAGGCAGACAACTAATGCATTTCACTTAAAACAAGCAATATAAATCAAAGACTTAAAGATTAAAGACCAATCAGAATAATTTGGCAACTTTAATTCTTAGGAAGATCAAAGTTCCCTCCAAACCTAATTTGATGTTTTATTACTAAAAGCAAAGACCAGTATGGTACAGTATTACTCCAGAGGAATTAAAGGAAGATTTTTAGGGCTGTTTCACCCACATTCATTTTATGAATGGATACCTCCCCTACCTCAAAATGCATTAGGGAGGTACTGCTACCATTACATGGTTCCTTATTAAGTTTGAAAAGTGCCTGAAATTTTGGGCACCAGAAAGACACCCCAACAACATGTGTCTTAAACTGCAACTTCAGGTTAATATGACTAAAGCAGTTACATTGTGAGAAGTGCTGAAGGTATGTGATGTCTTTCCCGGCACAGAGGTGGCCTTGGGTCTTCACCAGATGGTGTAGCCACCATCTGTACCGCCCATGAAGAAGTTCCCCTTCCGCTGAGTTACCAGGACGTTGGCTCCCTGCATGACTGCAAGCTGAGCAGCATTGGGAGGGCATCCAGGGGGTGGAGGCTGAAAGGAAAAGACAAGATTGATTGGGCATAAGGCAGCTGATACAAGGGAAATGGACAAGGTGAAACAGAAGACCTGTTAGGAAGATGGCAGTGCGCTGACCAAAAGCATCTTTAGGAGCTAGCTGTACCACCAATCTGGGTTCTAAAGCAGATCTGTGAACCCAAAGATACAAACAGGAAAGGATGCACTACTTATTCAAAGGGCTCTAGCTTCAAGATAAAGCCTATGGATACCTTCTGACTATGGGTAGCCTAGACCCAGTGGTTTCCTACCCACATTCCAAAAACAGGGATGGGGTGCCAGGTCCATGGCCCTATACCACAGGGTCCTCAATGTTTTTCAATGACGATGAGGTAACCAAAAGGATCTACCTAATGACACCATTCCCACCTCATCTCTAACATATGGTGAGTAGACAGGCCTCAAGGCCTAGCAAGGCCCTCAGACTGAAGGGTGGAGGGTTCATCAGGTCAAGGGCATGTACCTCAGTTGCAGGCTCAATCCCCACCCAGAAGGCAACCAATTGATGTGTCTTTCTCACATCGATGTTCCTCTCTCCCCCCCACCCCCACTCTCTCTAAAAATCAATGGGGGGGGGGGGGGGCTAGCAAGGACCATTTGGACTCTAAATCCCATGTATAGGGAAACTAAGAAGGAGACATAACTAAACTCCCTAGTTTCTTTCTAAAAACTACTTAATAGAGATTATGCATTCTACTTTTTTAATCAGCAAGGCTCCATGCTGATGGCACATATTAAGTAAATGCTATGGAATGAATACAGAATGTTACTAGACCAGTTCACTGTACCAAAGAGCATTGCACAAGCAGCAGGTGACACTCTTAGGACAGGAAAACAAAGGATCTGGTTCACTCAGACCCAGTGAACGTTCTGGATGCTACTGACCTGCCACAGTTCTCCCGCCCTCTCAGTCACTTTCTGCCTGACTAGTGGCTGTCACTGGTTGCACTAATACCAGCAACTATTACCCAACGATGGTGAAAGGATGAATATGTAGTCACTTCAGAAAGTTAAAATACACAAGGGCGAGTTTTTTCTGATAAAGTCATACTCACAGGAATGTTGCCAGCAGTAGCCCCAGCTCCGAATCTGGCACCTGCATCATACCCGCCTTCCACCAGCACTGTTGAACCAGGTGGATAGATGGGGCCAACTGGATAGTAAGCCATGGGGATTGTGGAGCCTAAAGGCCCAACAGCCACAGACTGGGCGGCCATGGGAAGATACAGTGAGGTGCCAGGAAATGCAGCTGACATGGTGGGGACGGTGGCAGCCCCTGGGTGCACAAAGCTCGGACGATAGAGCTAGAAAAGGCAGGAGAAGGCCAAATGTTACTTGATGACATTCCTATTTCAGATTTCATTGCTGTTTCCTCTTTAATGAGTCACTTAATTCTTATTCAGATTATAATCTAGAAGTTATACAAGTTGCCTTTCCCCTACCACTCAATATTCTCTTAAATCACTTCCTGCTATAGCTAACCTTGAGCTCAAAGAATGCAAACTCATCTTAACCTCAGCCTGTGCCAAATAATGTGAAATAATCAGAGAATGCATTCTGAACCCAACAGAGATTGATGAACTACATGTCACGTTTTAGATTATTCATTATTCATTCTTCTGTTTGCCAATACATGGAGTGAGACTTAGCTAAGGGCTGGAAATGGGACCCAAAAGCATTCTCAACCCGTTCAAGTCCAGCAAACTGGAAGCACCTCTGAGTAGGCGGGCGGAGCATCGGTATACGGTGGAGCCTGAGGGAGATGCAAGGTCTGCGGGTACACTGGGTTCCCAGGAGGCTGCACAGGGTAGGTTGGCTGCGTTGGATATTGACCTGGAAGACAAGAAAAAATGCACGTGGCCTGCCATACAGAGCCACCAAGGGAGGGCCTATCGGGTAGTAAACTCGTGGGAGCAAGCAAAAAGGGGTTCGCAAAAGCCGACTGCCCTGGAGGGCCTGCTTCCTGGAGCCAAGGAGGAAAAGTATGCTCTTCTC